CCCCCCAAACAAAAAAAAAAAAACATAAAACCTCATGCCAACGACCGATTTGAGTTTCTACTCTGGATTAGATGGTTGAATATCTTGTAGATTTAATTTTAAGGGACGTGGGTCATCTGATGGACGGTCTGGATTAAAAGGCCGGTGCCCCTCATTAAAAGTATTTACTCTTATAATTTCCATCAGGGCTCTGTGATCTCTGTTATCTCCTGTTATATTTTCGTATATAAATGAAAGGGCAAGGGAATGACTTCTTCAAAGTTCAAAAGAGAAAAAGCCCAAGCACTTTTTGAGGTGAGAGCCGAGGAAACAGTAGAGCCGATTTTTTTATTATTATTTATGTGGATTCCACCGCTTGTTATATATAAATATATGGTCTTACCACTGGAATGATAGGCGGTTCCCGATAATCCCAAACTCTTCTCTGTTTTATTCTTTCGTTTCTTTTCCTTATTGCTCATCAGTTCTTTGCTTTTATTTTATTTTTTTTTCCTGCCTCCTCCTCCTCCTCCTCCTCTGCAAACTGCAATTGCTGAGATAAAACTTTTAGTCCACTTCGGCATTACTTTGCCCATCCCTGCAGTCCAGTCTACTTGTTGTTTTAGCCTCAGCTTCTGCACTTACCTCTCTTATTTCTTTTTCTTAATTTCTCTTAATTGGGTTGTGGTGAGAATCCATGGACATCGACCTGCTAAAGTATGCAACAGAAGATCAGCTGGAGATGATGATGATGATGACGATGCATATGGAAAATCTTCCAGAATTCTGTGGAACCTATCCTGATGCATCTGAATTGCCGTCGACCATGGAGTTGCCTTGCGGTAATGCTGGAACGAGCTTCGGGGCGACTCCACCCACCATGAGTAACCCACCTGTGACATCATCACATGCATGGATGAACCCATCATCTTCGTCAATATCACTTATGGGTGCCCCGACTGAACAACTAGCGGCACCAACACTGTTATCCAATAATTCTGTAACGGAAAGCATAAGAGACACAAACGAATTACTGAGTAGTGCAAGTGCGTTGCAGAAGAGAAATTCAATGGCGGCGATGAGGGAGATGATCTTCCGGATTGCAGCGATGCAACCTATTCACATTGACCCAGAGTCGGTGAAGCCACCCAAGCGGAGGAACGTGAAGATATCAAAGGACCCACAAAGTGTAGCGGCGAGGCACAGGAGGGAACGGATAAGTGAGAGGATAAGGATTCTGCAGAGACTTGTACCGGGAGGAACCAAGATGGATACGGCGTCTATGTTGGACGAAGCGGTCCACTATGTGAAATTCTTGAAGACACAGGTGCAATCTCTTGAACGAGCTGCTGCTAATAGTCCTGCCGCCCTCGGCTACCTGGCTGCAGTTTCTAATACCAATTACTCTCCCTTAGCCAATGCCTACCAATCTGTTCAAATGTTTAACTCTAGTCAAATGCTTAGCTGAAACTTTACATAAACACTACATTGTCTAGTATGATTGATCGATGCTGCTATGGTTTCTTTCAAAGAATGACCGTTTGATTTTTCTTTAATATTTCTACCTCGTATTTTTTACCTTTAGCTCTGTGATCCGTTGTGTTATAAATTACTATGTCCCACTGAATAGATGTATATGTTGACAAACCATATTTGCAATTTTGCATCTCTCTCTCTCTCTCTCTCTCTGTGCGTACGTTTGTGTTTGTAATTGGTGTATAATTCAGTTGCCTCTCGATATTGGACAATTCAGGCCGGTGTTAAAGACAAATCCGGCTAACAACCGCAGGATTGAACTCAAGCAACCCGACGGTGGTTCCAAATTGTTATGACTGAAAATAGATGATGATTCATTCTTATACGATTTTTCCCCCGGAAGAGCTTTCTCTTGTGCCTGTTTTGCTCGTCTGGTCAGAGATACATAACAAATAGTAACTCCAGAACAGGCGGGGGACGAGGGTGGTAGTGCTACCTGTTATTGCTGCCTGGACCTGGAGTGTAATTCAATTTAATAAAATTTGAAATTGATTGATTGAGAGAGAGAAAGAGAGAGGAAAAGGATCACAAAAGAAAATGCATGGGAATTCCACGTGAAGATCTGACCCTTAGTGCTCTTTACAATTAGGCGTGACGATGACGTCGGCCCTCCAACCCCTCCATCTCCTAAAACCTTGCCACGTGAACACAGTCTACTTGGTGAATCTTACAGGTCTGATGTGGCAACCCATGTTGCAGAGAGATTGATACGACTGCTTCACTATTATTGGAACACAGTCTACTTTGCCTTTCTTTTCTAATTCGTTCCTTAAACTAATTTACCGTTTTCCAACGGTCCCAGGCAATAATCTATACACAGGATTGTACAAAGTAGCACTGCAGTTAATAGTAAAGTATAACTGACCCTTTAATTTCCCCAAACCAGAGTATCAGCGGCCTTGAAGATTTTTTGTAATTTACTCGAGTAAATGATAAATCTATTCTTCCTTGAATCTATCACACTAATATATAGCGGAAGAAGACGGTTATTTACTTATTTTAATACATGAATAGCCAAATTTTGTATCTTACATTTTAGAAACAAACAGAGGACCACGCCCCTGCCTTGAGTTCGTCACAGATCGCCCCCCATACAGCTAAATTACAAAGTTCATCAGAACCCAATAAATATTGACCGAGTAAGAAGAAGAAGAAGAAGAAGAAGAAGAAATGTCTTAGGGTACTTGTTTTAACAAGCTAATTATGAGTTGAGTTAGTTCAGATCAACGTGTAGTGTCTAAACATGTCCCCATCAGGAGAGAAGCGTCCATGGACACCGTAAATTGGTTTCTTTATTACTTCGTTGGTTTCTTTGCATTAGACTCTGGTCTCCGCTGCACCAACCCCCGTCCCAACACAACTTCATCTGTGCTAAAACATGTACTCAGTAACAACTTATGCTGTCCCTAACATGTTCCTCTGTTTGTGTTTGCAGTAAAAAAAAAAAAATCCACCTATCTGCTTCCACAAGAGGATTGTCGGCATTGGCACAACTAATTATATCTTGCATTAAAGGAGCCCAAATTAATCTGGGTTGGGTTTTCCTTGGCCTTTAGTAGCTTAACGTCTCTCACAGCCATTCTTGGTTTGGTGGTTCATTACATTTACACTTATCCCCTGTATTGATGCTTATTAATCGTTGGTGACGAGATTGGGAGAGCTTTAATCCTTGATTGAAATATTGAAGGCTTGGGGCACCAAACAAAACATAATTTGGATCGATGGGTTGAGTTGGCTTATCTCCATTGGTGTACGCCTCCCAAATTATTGTGCTCGATTGAGAGAAACTTTAATCCTTGTCCTTGAATGAAAAATGAAATATTAAAGGCTTGGCGCACCAAACAAAGACCATTGGTGTACGCCTCCCAAATTATTATGCTCTCTCTCTCCACTGGGTTGGTCTTCGATCCACACCCAAACCCACCCAATTCTCACCCTAGGATTATCATGGGAGTCCCATGGTTTCCTCTTCTGAACATATGGGAATAGATCGATGATGTTACAAAATTAAAGGAATAGTTGGTGTCATATGGTAGATTGTCAATGTAAAATCAAGGTTCAGCTGTAAATTAAGCTAATTAATTGAGGTGTTATAGTACTACAGTGGTGTTAGGAGTAACTATCAAGTAGATCTGTTCATGGGTCGGGTTTTTACTCTTCATAAACAGGATTTTTTTAGACCTGAGCCCGAGCCTGGCCTGACCAACGGGCCTATAATTTGGGCCCAAGCCCAGCCCTAATAAAAAGCCTGAAGCCCAACCTAACAAAGGAATCACCGTCGGTGATTGTGTTCATCGGTGAGCTGAGATTTTGACAATGAAAAATGAAATCAGTTCGCCTCTGAGAGAGAGAAAGAGAGAGAGGACTCACCGCCGCCACTGGTGCCTGTGTTCACCGCCTCGTCGGTGTCTAAGATTTGAGAGAGAAGAAGTGAGAAGAGGAATGATATATATATATATATATATAGAGAGAGAGAGAGAGAGAGAGAGAGAGAGAGAGAGAAGACTCACCACCGGTCTGTCAGAGTTTACTGGTTGTGTCGGTCAGTGTTCGCCAGTTCTGTGGCCGCCTGAGAGTGTGAGAATGTGATGTGAGTCACTATGAAGAGAAGAGAGGTTCGGCAATTCAGCTAACTCGAAAGAGATGAATGAGGAAGAGGGGCTACTTAGGATATTAGGGTTTTGGGGTTTAACCTATAGGCCAGGACGAGCCAAGCTATTTTGGCAAATCCCGAGCCCGACTCAAATTTATTGCAGGCCAGACTTTTTGGCCCGAGGTCAAACCTGCGGGTTCAAGTGTATGTTCAAGCCCATCCGGGGGCCCGGTCAGGCCGTCGGGCCACCCGGCCCATGAATGGTTTGCCGAGAAGCTTCTTCATCATGTGAGAAGAGATCGTGGGGTAGATTCTTGTTTGTACTACTTTATAAAAGAAGCCTTTATGGAGTTCATTTTAATGGGTAGTAGCTGAACATGCACGTGCTACTGCAGGTAGCCAAGGTTGATTTGTGACGACCTGCCTTTTCAAAGTTGGGCTCACCCTTTCAGTTATTCATACATCCTAAGCAGTAAGCACCCCCTAGCTTGGACTGAGTTCTGAATCCACAACAAGGTAATTTTTTGAGGACCCACCATCAATCATGCATGTCTCTGATCATTCTGAATCCAACAACCAACAAGACGCGATGAAATTAGACCATTTGGCTCTGGAATTCTATTCTTTTTCTGGGTCTAGCTAATAGAATGTTTTCCCCATTCAAATGATTCTACTACACGTTCATGGCTCTGCTACTAGTTTCAATTTTGGTGTCTTAATCACCACATGTTTGCTTGTGTTCTGTTAATTAATTAATTAGGAATCTTCTAACCACAGCTTTGAATTCCTGGAGTTCAGTAATTTTAATTTCATTTCTTACCGATTATAACCACAGGAGCCTATAGACTGTCGACACGTTTGTTTTAATTTTTAAGTGGCATCTTTGTACTTGTGATGATGTCAATAACTAATTACCAAAAAGTAAAATGCTTACCCTTTTTTTTTTCTTTTGGTACAGAGGAAATGAGAGTGGGGCAGAGCAAGGCTCACTTTGCCATACCAGAGAGAGCCTGCGGTTCCATTGATTTGATCCTACGCTGCTACCATTTCGAGACTACTGAGTAGAAATAAAGTTTAGTTTTCCCTAAATTTGGTAGAAATAGGAATGGTAATTTTTCTTATTTTATTTGATGATCCATTTCAAATAGGGAGGGGATGGGGATGATTTTTTTTAACGGGGATGATCCATTCCAAATAATGTATGTTATATATGTATATATGTATGCATACATCTATATATTAATATTTTTAAAAATATGATTGAATATATTTGAATTTTTCTAATAAAATTATAAATTTTAATTATTTTATTTTTATTTTTAAATAAACAAAAATAAAATAGTTAATATTATAAAAAATTACGGAGAATAAAAATTTCCGTGGAAATGGGGATGGAGATAACCTTGTCCCCATTAGCGGGAACGGGGATGGAAAAGGCTCCCCGCCCTGTTGCCATTCCTAGGTAGAAACTAGAACTATAACCCAGATTTTACAGATTGGAAAAAGTTTTACAAATAAAGCTATTTTACACAAACCCATTGAGAAAATAAAATAGGGCCTCTTAATTTCATACCCTCCTGCTTATGTGATTATGCATAGACCCTTGTTTTGTTTGCATTATATATATATATGCCCCTGTCCTAATTAAGATATAAAGATAAGAATCAGCCTAAAACTCTTATTTCAAACTTTAAAGTGACAAAACTGACCTCTAATACCAAAATAAAAGAATGTAATAAAATCGTTATAGATTTTTCTGTTAAAATGATTAAAACTCATTTATTTTTCTTTTAATTCTTCATGAGTTCATTATTTCTGTTTCAGAGGAAACCTCTTTATAACTAAAATACAATAGAAGAAGAAGAATGCATCATGTATACATGCATCTTATCCATAAAACCACATGCACGAGAAGGACCATGTGTTTTCCATACTTCATAGCCCATACAACCCACAATGTATTAAAAACTAAACTGGCAAAAGATACGAACCCTAGCCTTGCTTCTGTTTGCATGCACGCGATAGGGAACGTTGAATATGATCTGAAGGTTCCTTTGATAACGATGGAGATAGTGATCCATCGATGGTGATGGTGATAGCGACTATGATACATCAACCATCATTAGATCCGTGTTATTTGCTGGCTCGTTTTATTAGTTTAATTTAACTAATCCGAGATTCACAGTTTGTTTAGGATCGCATAAAGAAAAGAAAAAAAGCCAATCTGTCGGTTTAATTGGCGCAGCTAATAACTGTTTTAATTTACGGTAAGTATTGATTTAATCAAGCAATTAGAATATTGGAGAGGCGACGCCAATTCTTGAGTCTTGAGGAGTGACCCACAACACAAATCCACCCACCTCCAACTTAGTCGACCGGGTTAATGATTGGTAGTTTGGAGTTGCCTAGCTATTCCCTTTTGTTGTATTAATTTGGTTGAAGTCGGCGAAAGAGTAATCTTGAAGTCAAGTGTAAATCAAGTCATAGTTATCACGTACGTCGTATGAGCCTGAGGAGGTCA